TACTTGACAATCTCTCCACGGTTGAAGTAAAAAACGAAAATACATAAGGATAATGAGAATTAATGGACCAAGCAACAATGAAACTTTCTTCAAGACCGTGTGAAATGGACTGTTACTTTGAATAACTCAAAAGCATTCAACAGGGTTTGACACACGGTCATTCAGAAGTTGAAAAATGTCCGACGAAATTTTGAATTGTTTTAGCTTATAAATGAAAAAAAATTATAATCAATTATAACGTAGGGTGTAAATCCATGGATATACAATTTATCGACCTTCCTGATGATCTAATGGACTCTTGTCTCTATAATAAAAGATAAGGTCAAATCGGCGCCTGTTAATGATGTTGGTACATAACGGGCAGGTCGCCCAGTAACCACCAACATTGACCAGATATGTTATGACACAGAATACCTTCCTAATGACCTTGAATACTTCCTGAAACCGTTGTTACCATTAAGATGGATAATAATCCAAAATTCCATGGACGTACAGGATAATAAGAATTCCATGGACGGGCGGGCAGGCAACAATGAAATTTTAAAGAAAATGCCAACAGAAGGAACATTTCTATTCAGTATGCTGATGGCACTTTTACTTTTTAATTTACTTTTGTCTCGATAGCGATGAGTTCGATAACGTCAAATCGGTGGCTGATCTAAAAGAGTCTTTTGTTAACTGGGGCAAAGAATTGCTTGCTAACTTTAGCTCCTCTAAAACAAAATTGCTCTCTGATAATCATCTGGTTGGCGCCTTTCTGCTTTCCATAAGCCTGACTAAAGTGACTAGTTGCGCCTTCTCGGGCTAACATTATCGGTTGACATGAACTGGAAAGACTATATTGATTGCATTGATAGGCCAGCCGCTAAGAAAGTTGGTTCACTGTGTCGTACTAAGTTAATTCTTCTCTTCAGAATCTATCTTACATATCGATAAGTCAACCATGTTTACAATACCGCTGCCACATATGTTTCGATGCTCTCGCTCTATATTTAGAGGTTCTTGGTAAAAACCAAAAAAGAATCAGCAATATCATTGGTCCTGACCTGGCATCTCGGCTTCACTTCCCCACCACCGTAAAGTTGTTTCCCTGTGCTTTTTTCTAGAAATACTTTGATGGTAATTGTTCGGATGGGGTCTGCGCTGTTGTACCTAGATTTTATGATTTTAAGCGCAGTACTAGATTCGGCAATAAATTCTCCAATTTATCATCGAGTTGGTTAGACGAAACCGTAAGTTCTATGTTAGTAGTTTCTTCTATCGCACTTCTCGCTTGTGGAAGTCTCTTCTGGCTCCATACTTTCCAGCCAACTTTGATCTTCAAAAATTGAAATACAATATCAATTGTTATCTACTATGTTCATGTATTACTCTTCTATTGTTCTCGCTTATTAGTATTTTTTCAGTTTTCTAATTCTTCCACACCCAGTGACCCCCCTTGTGTCTTAGTGGCTTTGCAACCTTCCTTGGGGAAAATTCGATTAAAAAATATCTTGATGTATATCTGAGAGAATATAGCATAGTTTTGTCACAAATCATTACTATTCAAAAAAAAAATACAATTTCTTGCTTCAGTGGACTGGTTTGAAACCCAACAGACACAAACGACGTTAATATATATAACAAACAAAGAGACACTTTCTGGTTTCTGGTCGTCGGATCTGATAAGGTAATTTAATTTATGGCCACTGTTATCCTAAAAAAAATCTTAACACATTCTCCTTTACACAGAGTTTTGTTTTTCATTTTGACCTGAAGAAGCCGAAACCAACAGACTTCGGCGAAACGCGTCGTTTATAAACTTTCTACTTTTTCTGATCATCGCTTTTGTTTGGATTCTATTATTCATCCTACAAGGGCACTTCGACGTGGTGTAATTACTAGCAAACTTCTCACGCGAGATCAGTTGGAAATGAATTGTAAGTTTGATCTTCGTAGGGTACTCCATACTTTCAGTGTTGTGCTACATTTAAACTACGCTTATTAAATCGCTATTATGCATCCTAGAAACATAAAGACCATTACTAAGTAAATGATACTTTCAGTTTTAAGACAGTTTAAGCTAATGCAAATAAAAAATGAGGAAGGAAGGCTTAGAGAATTGAACACTCATATCGAAGGCAATTGGAGCAAAAAGAAGCAGTAAATAAATTTTTATATAAATGAATAGCAAAATAGGAAGAGGGAACGATAGTAATGGGGAAAACGTTGATTAGAGGTACAAGGAACAAGAAGCTGTGGAGAGCCATCATCGCTAACGTCTTAAAGGAGCACGAGACATAGAAGACGTAGAAGAAATTTCTATTCTATGCTACCCCTATTTGTCCTGATCTACCAACCATTCACACAATTTCCTTAAATAGGTCCCTCGCTGTTTCACCTGTCCTGAGAGTGTTAATTTCTCTAGGTCCTCTTTTCTCATTATACATCCCAGAAATTTCAACTGCCACTTTCTGAAGATAAATTCTAATTTCTACTGACATCGTTGTTAATTAAGCAAACAAATCAATGTCCAATGGTTGGTGTTAAAGATTTTTCCAAGACTATTTTTGTACATATATATATATATATATATATATATATATATATATATATATATATATATATATATATATATATATATATATATATATATATATATATATATATATATATATATATATTAACTGATTGAAAAATATGGTTTCATTACTACACAGGAATTACTATGTTTTAAAAACAGAAACTAAAAACTTCAAATTCAATTATATAATTAAATCAAAAGTATTAGGTCAGTTTTATCTTCAAGCGAATTTTGGAATCAGTAGTGATGAAACCACATTTTTAAATCAGTTAATTTATAATATTTATGCTCTGTAAATTTACATTGAGCACTGTTTTGTAAAAATAAAATATCAATAAGAACACACATTATATATCTCACTGTTTTTTTTTTTAATACACACATACACACACACACACACACACACATATATATATATATATATATATATATATATATATTTAAAAAAAACAGACCACTTTAAGGCTCTATTGTAATAATTTATTTCACCAGAGACTTTTATTTTTTTCCCTGGATCTTCAGATATCACTTTCAAAAGGTGAAACGAAAAATGAAATTAAAATTTACACTTTTGACGGGCAGTATTAAGCTTATATCAGTTGAATAGAAGATTGTGTGAGCGATATGGTCGAGTTTAGAGAGAGAACGAAGAGTTTAAAAATGTATTTTTATATTTCCTTTTTATTATAATAATTAATATTGAGGAAGGAGGGGTAATGATTAGACATTGACCTATTTAATCGGTCAACTCAACGTAAATGATATGGGAAAAGGAAAAAAAGGGAAAAAGAAAAAAGAGGAAGTAAAGAGAAAAAATATGTACTTAGGGTTTTCGAAGGAACAAGAGGGATGATATAGCTTTAGCAATTTAGAGAAAAACAGATTCTAACGTTTGATAGTAATTTAAATGTTTAAAAAACTCCACAAAGAAATTAATTTAATGCTTGACAGCAATTTAAATATTCAACTTCTCAGAATAAAGGCAAATGTAAATAAGATAGAAACCTAAAACGATCATCTTTAATATTGTGTATATATATATATATATATATATATATATATATATATATATATATATATAAAACTAATGAATTTTCCTTGTCTGTTCTAATACATGTAAAGTCTACAATATTAAAGATGGTCGTTTTAGGTTTGTATTTTATTTACTTTTGCCTTTATTCTGAGCTTCTCCTTAGAGTCTCGCCATTTCTTGTCACTCTTTTCCTTTCCAAGCAGGCCCACATATCTATGCAATGGACATCTTCCTCGTCTTACCGCCCCACCATCTAACAACAAATCTGGCACAGAAAAAGAAATCGATCGCTGTGTTCCAGATTCCATTGACATGTGTGTCGTCGTCCCCCGATGTTCACTTCGATAGCTAAACAACCCCAGCATCCCTCGCCGACGCTGGAATCAGATTTTGTAGATTGATAGCGATCAAAAACTTCGGAAGCCAGCCGAGCGAAAAGGAAAGGAAAACGTCGGTTGGATGATAACGAACTGGTGCAGAAGGTACGTCGATATCTGGGTGGGGACGGTATTTGCGGGGATAGGCACTCACGAACAAAACGCACCCATTTACACAAAAAAAAGAGAAGAAAAATAAAACACGCACTACAACAGACACACACTACAACACACACTCACCCATACTAATGCAAATACGCTTAGACATACATATCGGTACACACACCCTCCCTAATATAAAGTAACGCAAATAACAGAACACACCCCGAGGAAAAAAAAACAATCTGCTACGAAGAAATCCGAGTGTAGCGTGTTCGATTCTGGCCGAATAACCAACACTTATTTTTAGACCAGTTTAATCAAAAAAGTAAATAATGAGGATGAGGGCTTGATGAATTTAACACACATAAGACACAATGAAGGTAAGAGAGGTAGTGATAAATAGTGAATAACCTATTTCTTTTAAAAATTGTTTAACCAATACAAGGCCCAAAAGCCCCTCAAGGTAGAGGGTTACTGAATAACATTGTTGTACAAACAAAAAATGCATATGTTATGACATGTAGGAAAGATATTGGTTATCTGTAGACTTGAAATGGTTAAGATTAGAACGATAGGGCAAGCATCCACTCAGGAGCATATTCAACACAATAACACTTTTTGGGAAAAAGCTGTCCCAATTAAACCTAATTCTTATTAGCTTATTGTTTTTACGGCTTATCAACCCTTTTGCGGGCTATTTAAAGCCAGAAAATATTTTAAGATTATAAGAATTTTTTGAGATAATAATGTTATACCGATACAAGTCTTGCTAATTAACCCATAGCAGGGAGGAGAAGAAGAGGATGGCCAATACCATTCCCGGGTGTATTTGTGGGTAAATAAGTATGACGAACCCGACTGGAAATTGAACTCGGCTCTCCGATTTCCAATCCAGAGCCGATATGTATTACACAACCCGCACCATAGCACCAGGTATGCCTACGAGGTCACCCATCTAGGTAGAGACCAGGCTCAACGTTGCTTAATTTCGGTGAACGTATGGGTACCGGTGTTTCAACTGGATATGGCGGTAAGCCTGTTTTTAATGAAATTCGAAATATCTGAGCATTTATTTGTTCTAGTGTAAGTGTCATTGCGAGTTAAGCTGTGAAGGTCTGAACTTGTGCATTTAATGAATGTATTTTGTCAGAATATTTGCCATAGCGATAGAGTAACGAGTTTATTTAAATGGATGGAGGTGCAGAGACAGGAAGGAGCGGTAAGAGGACAAATGCTGTTTGGAGAAAGAAACAATTGGAATCTATAGAGAGCTATGAGAGGGTCCTAAAATTAGAAGAAGAAAACCAACGGCAGCAAGGGGGAAGTGTTCTAGTTTGTTTTTTTTTAGGAAGGAAAGTGTGACACCGTAATCCGAAGATGTATTGGGATGGCCAAAACTACATCCCAAAGGCTAAGAAGAATATTAAGAGACAGGAAATATTTCGTCGGAAACAAAGGAAAGATTCCTGAACTGTTAAGGAATATCTGTCCTTCGGTATGGCAATGAATTCTGGACAATCTCCTCGTAGATGAAGAAGAGACTTCAAACAACAGAAATGTGGTTCTACAGAAGGATGCTGAGGATACCATGGACTGAACGCGTAGAAACGACGAGGTTTTAGAGAGAATGGAATAAAAAATGAAACTTTAATTAACATCAGGAAGAGACACTTGAAATTTCTGGAGCAGGTAATGAGGAAGGAGGGTTTGGAAAATCTGATACTCACAAGACAGATTGAAGGTAAAATGGACAAAGGAAAACAGCTCATAACATACTTGATCAGTATGAGTGCATGGATAGTACAATAGTTTTTTGGGATAAATGACAAGAAGACATAAATTATTAAGAGCTATAAGGGAGAGGAAGATATGGGGGGGCATGATTGCCTAAGCCCTGAAAGAACAGGGCACATAAGAAGAGACGCTAAATCAGTTTTGCTGATCCCAATTCCTGCTTCTTAATTCATTGAAGAATCTGCGCATTCCATGCGTCGGGTTTTCCGTAGACCGATATTTGCTTGAAAAGAAAATAACAGGTTTTACCAAAATTGAAACGAGGCTATTAATTTTGCCTCGTTTTCAATTTTAACCTCATTAATATCATTATAGAGAACGATGTCTGGAATTGCTAACAATTTTTCTATGACTCATCGAACATCACCAACGAAGAAATTGCTTCAATTATCGGCCTTTCAGCGCTTTGCCAGTAAAAGACGCACCCCTTTGTAAAAATAACCAATGTAAGGGAATGAGCAAGAATATATCAATAAATTTTGGTCGTTTAAGCGAATACATTATTTACTCATATAGCCTTTTATACATACACATATACACACCAAAAATACACGCGTCTATATACACATTTTTTAAAATCAATTCACCCCAATAAAGACGATAGACACAAATGGCTACCGGAAGTAAAAGAGAAGGAAAAGGCTTTAGAAGAAACCGGAAACTCAATAATATAATAAATTTCAGAGTTTAGATGGAGACGTTAGAGTTGAAGTAGAATTTAGAACGAACCGGAAACCCAAAAAAAAGGATAAACCTCCACTCCTGTAGAAAAGACCGGGGAGGAGTGTGAACCGGACGATAGATGAGCCTATCAATTCTTTATTATTAATATGATATTTTTGTAATATTTAAACGATATTGAATTTATGGCGAGCAGTAATTTGGAGCTGCAAGACCCGACCAACAAACTCGTTGAAAAAACCGGTGTATATGAAATAAAAATCAATCCACCTAAACTCTGAATTTTATATTATCATTGGATTTCTTATTCCGTCTACAGACTTTTCCTCCTCTTTCACTTACAGTAGCCCCCTTGCGTCTTAGTGTTGTTCTCGCCTTGCTTGGGGTGAACTGATTAAAACAAAATAATATAATAAACAATGAATAGTATAAGAATAAATGTACAAATTGAAAATAGTCATCACTTGCCTTTAAAAAATATACATCACTATTTTGGAGTAATGACTAAACACGTCCAATCATTACGACATCCAGCTTTCATGATTTTGAAGCTCATAGCTGTGGATGGGTAAAAGAGATGAACTCATGCCTTTACCAAGGGTAAAAGCAAATAGTGAAAACCATATTGCTTGAAAACTTCCAAGAGCAACAACACAGTTATTATCGTATCTATCTAGACGAGAAATTAATCATGTAATCAAGTTGTTTATTTTCCACTTTACCTTAAGCAAAAGGGTGTTGTGATCATGGCTCTCCACAATTTCTTGTCATTTGTAGATCTTAGTACATTTTATCTACTTTCTATCTCCCTTACACCCTTTTCTTCCATCCATTTATTTATGCTCGTTAGGCAGGGGTTAATGAGCTGTTTTCTCTGTCCTTCTTACAGTTAATATATTCTGTGAGTGTTAAATTTTCCAAACGCTCTTTTCTCATTATTTGGCCTAGAAATGTCAATTCTCTCTGTTTGATATGAAGTATCCATTTTGTTTCCATTTTTCCTAAAACTTCGTCATTGCTCACATGTTCGGTCCATGACATCCTCAGCATCCTTCTGTAGAAGCATTTCTATTGTTTTGCCTCTATTCTTCGTCTGTGAAGAGATTGTCCCGCATTTACTGCCATGTAGGCGGACTGGTATTACGTAACAGTTCCGTACTCTTTTCTTTATGGTTACCAAAATTTCATGTATCTTAATACTTCGCTTAGTTTTCGGAAGCTTCTTTCTCTATCACAATTTGCTTTTAGATTTCGGTCTTGTATTTTCGCTCCTCTGTTAAACTCACATCAACATTTGAAAACGTTATAATATTTATTGAACGTGAGCAGTGTAATTTCCTGGAAAAACAGTTGGAAGAAACCAATTTTATAAATTTTAAGCGACATTAAGAGTAACAGTTCAAAGAAAGAATTCAACCGTTAAGGTTGAATTCTTTCAGTGTAGAAACGACTAATTTACCATTAGTGTGAAATTGAATGCAACAAACTACATGTGAATTGAAAGACAACTTCTTGCTGATATCAGTTGCAGTAACTGCACGCCGCTTACCCCCCTGGTGCTATCCCTTTAGTCCAACAGGGAGGTCTTGCCATGAGAACCGGACACCTGTAGGAAATTCGGTCATCCAATTTAGAAAATCTGAACGTCCAAATTCCAAACAATAATTTCTTCTTTCCTATACACGAAGGATTGATTGTCATGTAAGTTTAAAAATAATGGTCCTAATTGTGAATTCAATCTCATAAATGAAAGAATTCACTCTTAGCATTTTTCTTTCTTTCTTTCTTTCTTTCTTTCTTTCTTTCTTTTTCTTTCTATATCCAGAAAGCTATTCGATGGCTTGCGCCAAAATTTAGTAAATGTAAATTATCGTATTTATAAATCTAACAATGTTTGAAGAATTAATGGATTTATTTTTAATCTGATATTTATATTACTTCAAATGTTATTTCTTAGTGGATACCCGTGTTTGAAATAGACATCCAGTTTTGATTTCCCAAAATGTGTATTACGGTTATCGGATTGCTCACTCGAAAAGTTTTAATAAAGAAAATATTAAACATATTTTTATTAAGATTTCTCAAGTGCGCAAATATTTGGTATTAACATATTTTTCTTTCGTTATCATTTTCATTTCCCCTCTCTCTCTCTCTCTTTTCCGCTCTCTCTTTCTCCTTTCTGTCTCTCTTTCTTTGTTTCTCTCTCTCTCACACACACACACGCACACACACACACACATACACACACACGTTTTCTGTCACTTTTTCTTTGTATATCTCCCTCTCTCATTCATATTTTACTTTGTTTCTTTGTTCTAAATCTTTCTTTCAAAACTGCTGGAAGAACAGGGCTGCACACTTGCATAGGTATATACCCCCCCATCTATCATTATTACTTCCCAAGCCTTGTCGACAAAGAATTTGGATGAATGATGCCGTAAGTTGATCTCTCTCTCTCTCTCTCTTTCTCTCTCTCCCCTCTCTCTCTCAACCACATTCCCCCTCCTCAGATAAGTACAGAGAGTAAAGTTACCGGATAATTTGAATAATTTTGAACCTAAATTTTATATATATATATATATATATATATATATATATATATATATATTATGTGAAAATATATAGAAAATAGGAAGGAACTGGTTAAAATAGTCCAAAGTTCCTTAGTATTTTTGTTATTATTTTAAAAAAAATAGTGCTCGATACAAAAGTAGAGCATAAATATAATTAATTTAAAAATATGATTCCAAAGTTCATAAGAGGTCTCATGTTTTCAAAAAACAAAACTTCAATATAATCCTTTAAATTAAATTGAGTTGAAATTAAAATGGGTTCCGTTCCATCTTCAAGCGAATTTTTTGTTGGAATAACGTATATCTGAAATTTACTTGTTTTAAAATTGAAATCAAAATCACCATGGTGACAGCTAGGCGAATTATCTAAAATGGGTAGGCATAAAGGATACTTTCAAGGTGTCAAGTCAGAAGGGGAATGTTAAAAAAAAAACGAAATGTATTAAGCTTTCGTCAAGTTGGCTTGTCTATGGAATTTATTTAATCATATAAAAAAAAAAATTTCGTAGCGTTTGTTTTTTAAATAAAGGGTTATCTTTATGTAAGGTATTTAAACTACTAATTTGGGCTATGGATTTGAATGTTATGTTGTATGCAAGTTTGTAGTTAATAATTTCTACTATGAATCTGATGATTGGGTTATTTGTTAAACAAGTTATATAATTTTTTTTTTATTTCAAACCAAAAATCTGATGATGCCTACAAAAAAACCGTTAACTCGTGTCTATTATTTAATAGATTATTATTATTTAAGTTTAATAATGTGCAATTTTTCATGGAGGCACAAAGGGCATGGGTCATCCCAAGATTTACATATTCTAGCCTTGTCAATAATTTTCCATTTAACTTTTGGTGTCTTATTTGTTTTCCTTCAAGTGCCAAAAATAATGAACTATTTTTTCTTTTTATATGCACAATTCCCTTTCATAATAAAATAAAATAAAATAAATAAATAAATCTCCATAGACAAGCCAACTTGAC